AGTTGAAGCTTTTTTTGTTGCCCGTGTGCTAGCTTGCGCAGGGAATGATGTCCTGTGCATCTTACTCATTTGGCATACACTGCAGACAGTATTGGTTTTACCAAGTGTAGGGGGATTGAGACTCAGGTTCTCAATTTGCAACTTCAAGCTGGACATATGATAATGTCCAAACTTTCTGTGCCAAATTTCTCCCTCATTTGCACCAGTATAACAGGCGATGTGTGCTGGCTTCTTCATGCACAACAGGTAATCTGATTAATCTTTGGTGCTGTCTCGATCTGCTTCCTGCAACATTTACTCTCAAAAAGAACCTTATACCCATTATTTGTCATTTGATTCACACTTCACAAATTTTGTTTTAATGTAGGTACAAAAAGCACATTTGTAATATACCGTGTACTTAGGTGAGTATTTACAGAGACAATGCCATTACCTTTTGCATTCTCAAACTTGCCATTTTCCAACCTCACTTTGTCTTTCAGAGCTTTATTTAGGTAGGTAAACATGGACTCGTTCTTGCACATGTGGGATATACACCCACCATCAACGATCCATTTTGTGTCATCCTCATCTATGACTTCATTTGAGGCCAGATACAAATTTACTGAAGCTTCACCAGTTGCTCCGATGATGTTTGTTTGCTGATGTTCTCCTTTAGGTTGGCCTTCATTCTACTTCTACTTCAACCTACAGTTTCTTTCCTTATGGCCAAGTTTTTTACAAAAACGACACTGAATTCTCTTCTTGTCCTTGTACCAACAATCCTTTTCTAGATGGTTAGTCAATGTGCAAATTTTACAAGGAAGAAATTTTAATTGCTTACCATGGTTTTGGTTTCCATGTTGCTTCTCAATTGAGCTCTTCTCTCCAGTCTGCTTTCCTTTGTTCTCAATTCCTACTTTGGCTTTTATAAATAAGGCTCCTTCTGTGTAATTAGTTTTCCTTATGTTGGCTCACTGTTCCTGTGACTCAGGCTTATTTATAAGCTCAACTGCAGTGATGGTATCAGTATCATTCAGCTCCTCCAAACAGAGATTTTGAACTCAAACCGAGCTGGTAAACTGATTAGAATCTGTTCTAGCACCCATGAGTCAGGAAAGTTCTCTCCCAGCAGCCTTATTTTGTTCACAACATCCATCAACTTAGATGCGTACTATCTCGCCATCTCATCTTCTCTCATTCGTAACATCACAAACTCTACTTTTAGTTTCAGCAGCTTCATTCTCCTGCTTCTGGTACCACATTCAAATTCTTCTCTGATTTTGTCCCAAGCCAGCTTAGGAGTTTTGTAGGGCATGATCCTACTGAAAACCGTGTCTGAGATAGCTGAGTGAATGCAAGCAAGTGCACGACGTTTCTTCATAAGTTCCTCTTATGCCTTTTGATCTTAGTTAGGGATGTAGTGTCCCGCAATGGAGGTGGCTCAATGTCGTCGAGAACCACATCCCAGAGATTCAGAGATTGCAAATGAATCTCCATTTTCAGTGCCCAAACATGGTAATTTTCTCCATTGAAAGTGTGGAGGTGCAGATGAACCAGAACAGGTTGCCATCTTTGTAA